AAAAAAAAAAAAAAAAAAAATCTTTTTGAAGTTAGTTTTGGAAAGGTCTTTTTCCAAGCGTTAGTAATTTTTATTGAAATTTTGAGTTTTTATTAAAATAATATTTAAATTAAAATAAATGTGAGTTTTTTTATTAAAATAATATTTAAATTAAAATAAATTACCAAATTGAGAGTTAATTATGTGAATTATGTAAGTGGATGAATAGTGAATTAAAAATCAATTGGATGTGTAAAAATAATTGATTTTTAATATGTAATTATATGGATAAATATTAAGAATAGTAATAATATTAAGAATAGTGAAATTGAATATGAATTAGTATAAAGTTGAATAATTTACAAACAAAAACACTCTTAATATTTTTATTTATTTATTTTTTTTTTGGGGGGCTGTCCTTGGTTATGTAGGAAGGGGAATAGTGAGTATATTGAGACAAGACAGGAGGGAGAGCTTCAATATCAAACAAGGAGATATATTCAGGATAAACTCTGGTACAACAACTTACCTCATCAACAGTGATAAAAACCAGAAGCTTATCCTGGCTAAGCTTCTCCAGCCGGTCAACACCCCCGGACAATTCCAGGTAATTTTGATATATCCTGGAATAAAAAATGATTAGTTTTAATTTAAAAATTTTAAAAATAATAGCCAAAATTTTTAACTTATAACAGTTTTCAGTACTCTCAAATGTTTATCTCATATGCTTTTGGGCTTATGAATTATGATTAACAGACATTTTTCGGAGCCGGAGGAGAGAATCCCGAATCCTTCTTCAAAGCCTTCAGCAAGGAGATACTTGAAGCTGCCTTCAACGTAAGAATATCCAATCTATATTATTTTGCTGGATTATTATTATTATTTTTTTTTTTTTGGCTCACTTGATCTTAAGTCTAATCCACCCACTCTGTATTCAGACAAGGAGTGATAGGTTGCAGAGGATCTTCGGACAACAGAAGCAAGGTGCAATAATGAAGGCCTCGGACGAGCAAATCAGGTCCATGAGCCACCATGAAGAAGGCAGTGTTTGGCCCTTCAGAGGCGAGACCAAGGGCACATACACCATCAACATCTACCAGCAGCAGCCCAAACACAGAAACCAGTACGGCCAGCTCTTCGAGGTGGACCCCACCAATTACCGACAGCTCAAGGACCTCAACATTGCAGTCTCACTCGCCAACATCACTCAGGCATAACTATAACTAATTCTAAGACAACATTGCTGTAAACGAGCTCATGCTGACGAGTCGAGTTCGGCTCGTAACTTAAACGTGCTTATAGCTCGGACTCGATTCGTCCATCATATTAATGAGCTCGAACTAGCCGAGCTCAATCCGAGTCAAAATCGAGTCGTACTCTAGAAAAATATATAGAAAATTATCTTTTCAAGGCTTAACGAGTCGAGCTCGGGCTCGTTTAATTTAACAGCTCGGCGATTCGAGTGGTAATAACTTGGTGATGTTTGTGTTTAGGGTGCAATGACAGCTCCATATTACAACTCCGAGACCACGAAGATAGCATTAGTGTTGGAAGGCCAAGGCTATTTCGAGATGGCGTGTCCCCACCTTGCAGAGGAGGAGAGTCGCCGCCAGCAGGGCAGCGAGCGTGAGACGAGCGAGAAGAGCACGGGCCCACGCTACCAAAAGGTCAGCGCTCGACTGAAGCGCGGCACGGTTGTTGTGGTGCCGGCTGGGCATCCATCTGTGGCCGTGGCCTCCAAAAATCAGAATCTGCAGCTCCTCTGTTTCGAAGTCAATCAAAAGAACAACGAAAAATACACTCTTGCAGGTGAACAAACTTAGATTCAACTTCTCATTATACACCCTCACAAAAAAATATGCATGATTTACTCAAAATCATTATGTTTTGTTTTAGGGAGGAAGAATGTGATGAAGTACCTGGAGAAGGAGGCTAAGGAGCTGGCCTTTGGAATGCCGGCAAGGGAAGTCGAGGAAGTGTTCAATAGCCAAGAAGAGGAGTTTTTCTTCAAGGGGCCTCGACAGGAGCGCGAGGGCCGTGCAGAGGCATAAGAAGAATGCATAACTACTCAGGAGCGAGTCCTAAGAAGAGGGCTCAATATGTGAAAATATGTTTTAAGCTTATAAGGCAGTGTAATGTACAGTGACTGGCTCGTCTGTCTTGTCCAAGTAGCGTAATAAAGAGACTCCGATCGTTGTTCCCCGGTTTCAAATCCTGCAGAGAATGTGACTATATATGTAAATTAGGTGAAGTTCATGTTGACTTGAATAAAACAGAGCTGGTGTTTCAGCTCCTTTTCGCACATGAAATCTCCGGT